ATTTTATTAAAAGAGCTAGACTCAACAGGAGACAAATAGAAAGCAACTGTTCTTTCTCTCATTGCCCCTTAAAGCTTGTTTTCTGGAATTTTCCCCCCAAATGTAGATGAAATTTCAGGGGATCCCATATATTTTTCTTTCCTATTCAGTCTAAAGAAAAACGTCATTTCATTAAATAAAAACTTTGACGTCTTTAAAATATTGCATCTTCCAACCAAAGAACATGATACATACTACCACTTAGTTCTTGTTTAATTTCTCCTAATAATGTTTCATAGATTTTTAAACAGATATCTTACAGATCTTTCATTATATTCTGAAATATTTTCTATTTTTGATTCATTTAAAGACATTGGATATTTTACATTTGTTATGTATACAGTTCTACATATGTTAATTAGGCAAAGTTTGTTAATTGTGTTATTCAAATAGTCTAGATTTCTATTTGCTTATTTCAGTTACTAGAGGAAGAGTGTGTTAAAATCTTTCATTGTAACAATGCATTTGTCTATATCTGCTTTTACTTTTCTAAATTCTTACCTTAAACACTTTGATGCAGTATTGTTATGTGCATAGTAGTTATATAGTCTTCTCATTTTTATGAAATGTGCCTGTTTATTGCTAGTTATCTTTTTGCCTTACAGCCTGTTTTTATGCTATAATAGAGCTACATCATCATTCTTTTTGCTAGTGTTTGCATAGATCTTTTAACGTTCTTTAATGTTCAACTTTTCAGTATCCTTTCATTTTAGGTGTTTCTTTTATAGCAGTGTATAGTTAGCCTTTTAAAAAATCTCGTTAAATATTACTGTCTTTTAGTTTGATCATTTAATCTATTTATGATCGATGTGATTATTGATATATTTAATGTTAAATCTAGCATCTTACCAAGGCAGTTGCTTTCTGTTTGCTCCATCTACTCTATAATCTTTATACTCCTCTTTCCCAGTTGGGTTTTTTAAATGCCTTTTATTATTTCATATCCCTGTTCTGTTTACTTGTTTAGTCATACATATTTTTCATTCTTTTAATGGTTACCCTAGAGAGTAAACATTTATTCTTGATTTAGGAAGTCCAGTGTAAATTAATACCTTCACCTTTTCCCAAATAATATGAAGGTCTTAAAACAATTTAACTTTATTTACTCTCCCATTGGCTTAAATGCCATTTTTGGTGTGTATGTTAATATGTGTATGTGTATATATGTTTGCATGTATATATGTGTATATATGCATGTGTTTATACTATGTATATATTTTAACACA